GGGGAAGAAGAGAGAGACGTCATGGCAGCCATTGTGATATGCAGTGTTTTATCAAATTAAACATCCAGTCACGGTCTACATCTCTACGTATATCACAAAGCCGCAACCCGCCCGCACGAAGCTACGAACAACTTTATTGTTCCAGCACAATACAGGACACTCCAGCCAGCTCCCTACTGACGCATTTCACCCCCTACTGGAGCTCGGTTGTAGAGCTCGTAGCTGTTCAATGAATCCCCAGCAGTGGGTGAAACGCATCACTTGGGCGGAGTGTCTCGTGCTGCGTTGTGCCGGAACAATAAAGTTCTCGTCAGCTTTGCGGACGTGGTGCGCCGCTATACGCACAGCATCGCGGCGGTATCACGGCAACAGTTCGCTGTACATCTACTTTAATGAAAGGAAGACGTTCAGGCCAACCGATGAGGACAGAAGCAGAATCCCAAATCACCGATGTGCAACTAGCGCCCCCTTCAGTCAGGTACCAGCGCTGCAGGGGAACCTGGACTGGCCCTTCAAATGCCAAATAGCGTAGTCTCTTTCTTTGTAGGGGTAGTAGTTCCCGTCCGCTCCCTGGCAGCCGAGCTCTTCGTCCGGGATGGGTTGCTTGTCTATGGTGATGGATTCTACTCGGCAGCCGGGGACGTTGGATTGGATCCAGTCAATGTAGGCGCTGGGCAGGATGTAGACTCCGGGTCTGTTGACTGCGCCGCACTCGTCTCCCCAGCTGACCACGCCAATCTGGTACCACTTGTTGTTGATGTTGCAAGAGAGGGGTCCCCCCGAGTCTGTTTGGCTTTCTTCAGCAAATCCAGCATTGACCTCGGGGCCCGGATTTACTCTCTGCTGCTCCAATGCCAGGTGCCCAGAACTGCATGTCCCGGGCATCGGGGGGATAGGAATTCCACACCCCTGCTGCCCCTCCACTCCCTGCTGCCCGAGGAGGCCAGGTTCCTCAATGCGCCTCCCTCTATGCAGGCTGCATACAAGTGATCTTGGTGACATCGCAGAGATCACTTGTACAAAACAAGCGGCGGCTTCCCCGCTCTACATTTAGCCCTGCTTACCCAAAGCCGGGCTAAATGTAGAAAACAACTACCCGCCCAGAACTGCATGTCCCGGGCATCGGGAGATAGTAATTCCACACCCCTGCTGCCCCTCCACTCCCTGCTGCCCCAAGGCCGGGCCTCGGTTGGCCTTGTGGGAAATCCGGCCCCCACGGTCCTGCACTCCACTGCCACAGACCAGGCCCCCATCCACCATTGTCCCTTCCTATGCCATGGGTAGCCGGCTGTCTCTTCCAGGTTCTTGCCCGCCCGCTAGTATTGTCTGTCCCTGCGTCCTCCTGCAGGAGCTGGCTGAGAGGGGTCAGGTACAGGCTGCAAAAAGGCTAAAAGGCTGCAGGAGCCGGTGACATCACCTCCCCTCTATGCTATTGAGACGAGGAGAGGGGAAGTTGTTCTGTAGCGCTCACACACTTCCTGTCCTGAGGGTGACAACATTGCTCCATAGATTTGGTACAGCCAGTGGGCATAGTCACCCTAGGACAGGAGGCGTCACTGACAGCAGACACGTGCGATTCGTTCGTTCCCAATCGAAATTCGGAGGAAATTTCGGAGATTCGCATGTATCCGAATTACAGACATAACGAACGCAAACGAATCCGAATTTCCCATTCGTTTTGGACGAAATTTCGTTGCAGCGAAGTGACATTTGAGAACAAAAAACAAAATTTTTTCCCCCCTCTTACATGTCACTTTGAACGTAAATGTCATAACGAACGTTAACGAAAACGAAACAAATTGACTTTTGGACCCAAATTCGGAAAAAACGAAATAAAGTGAAATCCCGAAACGAATCTTTGGCTGGTGCGCATGTCTGACTGGCAGGATCACCGGGTGAAAGCCCGAAGAAAACTAATGCAGCCGCCACACCCCGAGTATTGGTAAGCTGCAACGGGTCACATTTTTGGGGTTCGATACTCTCTAAGCCCTCGTTCACACCTGAACGTTTTGTAGCGCGTTCTACGCTCGACGAACGCTCTACAAAACGCTCAAAAATATAAATCCCATTGTATTCAACGGGTCTCGTTCCCACCTCGGCGTATTTCCGCCCGTCCCTAACACGTTACAAAACGGCCCACGCCGGAAAAGGTCCAGGTACTACTTTGGGCCGTTTTGTTGCGCGTTTCCATTGGGATGCAACCAAGTAGCCTTCGGAAACGCGCAAAGGTCGCGCGACTTTTTTACCGCGAATCGCGGTAGAAAACCGTGCGACAGACGCGCATATGCAATACGCCTAGGTGTGAACGAGACCTAATACTCCGACTTTTTATTTACAAAGCTGAAAGAAGTCAACGGGCGCGAGCAGATAAGATGTTCATCCTCCGGGTTCGCGCACGTACCTGGCAGGCATCCACTTTGCCCTCTTTGCTCCCCGCGCAGATCATGTCTGATTGGATGGTTGTTATGGCGTCGCTTTTGCTGGGGTTAATGGAGTGCAGACACTGGCAGGTCCTGGAGCTGATGACTTGCACGCCTCCCACTTGCAGGGGTTTGGGGTTTGGGAGTAAAACTGCGAAGACACAAAACATTTTATATCAGTGACCGTACATCATGAGATCACCTCCCTCCGGGCGGTCCTACACGGACCACCAGCCACGGGGCCACACCTCCCGGGATCCCTTCCCCATACCAACAGCAGGCACTTCCGCGTTTTCATGTTCAACAAAAACTTTATTGCAAGTAGAGCAAACTCACATTGCTCACCACCAGACCCCTCCTCATCCTCGGCACCTCCCCTCCGGACCGGCCGCGGGGCCACACCTCCCGGGATCCCTTCCCCATACCAACAGTAGGCACTTCCGCATTTTGTGTTCTTCATGTTCAACAAAAACTTTATTGCAAGTAGAGCAAACTCACATTGCTCACCACCAGACCCTCCTCCTCCTACTTCTCCAGTGAGGGCTTAGTCATGAAAGTCTAGGGCTAGGCAAGAACTAGGTCCCTATTGGAGGAGCAGGCGCTGGGTGTCAAGGGAACAAGGCAACACAACTGTTCCTTTAAGAGAGCTTATATCCAATGAACCGGCAACTACGGTGACACTCGAATGGCCTTCTTGGCGAAGATCAGGCGTAGTATCTGTTCTCATCAGTGTGGAGGAGGGGAAGGGAGCCGCTGTATTGGCCTTATGGCTGGGAAGTGATGTGATGGGGGTCCTAAAGGGTCCTGGCTATGGGAAGGAAACCGAATGTAGCGTCCAATCACGTAAGAGTGGGGGGTCGGGAGTACTTCCTTAGTCCTGGGTTTTGGGACCCCCACCGTGTGGCCACAACACCTTTTGCTGCACATCGCCTCTTGGGCTGGGCCTTGTGGCTAAGACCAGGGGTCATTTTTATTAACGGGCCGCAAGGCCTAGCCATGGTCTAGCACTGTGATGGCACTTATTTATTTTTCTTCACTTTTTTGTGTGTTTTTTTCACTCCACAGGATGTAGAACAAGAAGCTTGCCTGAGAGAAGGTTTTTTGCAGTAGCCACCCCGCTGAATGTTGGGACTGCTCTTCTGAAGGGGCGTCTTGCCTCCTCTGGTAGCACTCTACACCATGGCCACAAAGTGTTCCCAGGTCTTGTCCCTGTCCTTCCCTAGATACATTTAGCACAACGGGGTCCCCCTGTTCAGAGCACATTGGTGTCCAAACCGGCCACGTAAATCTGGTACGAACTTTAAAACTAGACACGAGCTCTCCCGAGATGTTGCGTGGAGACCATGGCAGAGGACACACTTGTTCTATGCTGGGCTTCCTCTAGTGCCAGTAGTAAATGGCGGTCACCGCTCTGTTACGCTGGAAGGTAACGGGACTAAGCTGTCATGGGATCTCTGCACCACCTTCCAAACAGCTAACCCAATGGAGAGATTTCTTCACCCCTCTGGTACGGCGGAGGCCACCCAACCCCACCGGTCTACACGCAGCCTGTCTGTATCTGATCATATCACCCGTCACCTTCCCGCAGGGAACCTCCTTACAATGGATGCTGGGGAGCAAATAGAGCAGCTCAGCACCATAAAGACCACTTTCAGGGCCGGGACAAGGTTACAAAAAGGCCAGTTCAAACCCCGCCCCCAACCACCATCACCCCCCACGACCACACCCACCACCCCTACGAGACCTAAACCACTTTAGCAGAATAGGTTCGCAGGTCCTACAATTTTCGTGCCCTGAAGCTCCGCCCACAAAACACATACATGACCCTCCTTACCTCCGTTCCTGATGCTGCCCCATCCGGTGACATAACAAGTAAGGCCAGCCGGGATCTGGACGCCAGCCGCCAGTAAGCTGATGATGCCCACACCGGGGCCCATAGTCAGCGGGGTCTTAAGCTTGACCAAGGCGATGTCCCCCGAAAAGGCGTCTTCATTGTAGGATGGGTTTTTGATAACGGAGTCGATGAGCACGCTCTGGGAGTTGGCATCGGTGGAATCCAGGTTGGTGGTTCCAACGACGGCGTCGTAATCTGACACTGCATGCTCCCTGCCAAATAAAGAGCTCAGATTAGCACCTTCCATAGCCAGCAATGATTTCATTGGCCAGCGGAGAGCCTTGTCGGCTGGTTGGCTGATGGAAAACGTCTGTCCACCCAGAACTATTCAAGGTTCTGTCCAGGGACTTCCCAAATATACCCCCAACTGTGCGGAGAGAGACAGCTTCTACGACTCCCTGTAACACTAGAACCGGACTTATAAAAGGTGATGGAAGGGCAGCTGCTGGGAGCTCAATTCCTTTTGACGTAGCCACACCCCCAAAACTACGTCTCCCAAGAGCTGTACACACCCTACAAACAGTGTACAGGAAGGTTCTTGGGGAGTCAAAGCAGCAGCATTACTTTTCTGGGAAAGAAGTCTATATAATTATATGGA